CAGATTAGACGCTCCTTGTGTTTATTATTATATTTCGAAAACGCCACAGTTTTCATGCAGCTCATACCATATTATTTTGTTGTATTATTTCCGCCACACCTTAAATGCCGGTCCCTGAAAATATTGTCTGACATAAACCGGTCCGTGGGGCAAAAAAGGTTGGGGGCCCCTGCTCTAATTGACGGGAGAACGCAGCCAATACAAGAAATCCTGATGTGCTTCGTCACCATTCTTAAACACAACGCAGTCGGACACACTCGGTTACACTTTTTATATAATATAATATTATATATACTGAAGTAATCACTTATATAATATGTTAGAAGTTTAGCTTAAAACTATGTATCGCAGACAGACTTTGACTATAAACCTCACTCTGAGCCTTGCAATATGACCGCCAGTTGAACCTTATGAGGTGACTTTAATTTGAACTGCCTTGGCAACAAAAAATACTGTTAACACCTTTCGTGAACATAGACCACACAAGTACGTAGGCTCGTTTGGTGGCTAGACTGCAGTTTTGCACTTACAGCAGTTTTCCATCCAGAACATTAGGATAACTCCTGAGAAATGTAAAAGCATCTATCATCATGTTTTATAAGAACACGTGATCAGGAACACTGGAGCATGAAAATGATTAAAAGACCAAGGACACTCAAACCGACATACCGAAACCGAAAAGGTGATGCCCATAACAGGAAAAGATAATACCCATAAGGAGATACGCCCCGCTTAGAAGATTTAAGATTCGTGTAGAGAATTTGTTGGCAGCGCATTTGTGTCTTGACCACAACACTTGTTTGTTTCACACTTGTGCCCTGAACGTTCAATAAAACTTATTGCAAGAACTTCTCCATTTCCAGCCTCTGATTTTCGCACCTCAACTCAGCCCGATCAAACGAACACGGAGGACCTGTGGGGGGAAGCGGAGGACAGTGAAGGGATCCCGCCGTGTCCACCACAGCACGCTCCCCCGGCTTGCTCGCCTCCAACAATACACACATTCAAACATATATATCTAATCTCCGAAGTACAATCGAAATTTGAGATGATCTACTTAGTAGTTAAAAAGATGCAATGCAATATCACAATTGAATTAATCAATTTACCTGTTGCTCCACCCAATGTTAGAAATACAATTACAGCATTCAAAATAATTGATGACATCCCGAAGAGCGTCTTTCATTTGGTTAGTGTACTCACACTGGTGAGGTATGTTAATTACTTTCAGTTTTATATTTCCTGGAAGACGACGTTTACACGAGACCGGCAGCGCCGCAGTGATGTAGATGTGACACGCCCCTTTTGACCTGCATGCCTTCGGCGACGCTAAGCTAGGAGGGGCAAAGGCGCCAGCAAATTTTAGGTGTGTGTGGACGGGCAAGAAAACCCCGAAAACGAAGGATGCCTGTCATATGCTGCATACGTTTGCGCACAACGTCTTACCATAATGACACGGTAAACGGGAATGTTTCCTTTCCATTTTTTTGGAAATACATGTTCTTTATTTATCGCTCAGATTTTGGCATTGATAAAAATCAATCAATAAATGTCATGAAAATCGGTTGACAAATATGACAAATAAAATACGAATTACTTACTGTCAATATTGCCATGAAGGGGAGTACTGTCTGTCCTAGCATAACAGCCGCGTGTGCAAGCGCTGAGCCATCCAGTATAGACAAAGTATTTTCGTGTATTGCTTGTTTATAATAGCCCTCCAATATGGCCGCCGGTAGTGCATTGTGGGTAATTGCTAAAAGGACGAAGCCTTCTATTGTTTCCCCTAACTCATATCCTGGTGGGGCGGGGTAAGCAAAGCATGGAGATCTAATAGAAACTCTGTCTTGACCTGTTGGTTAGCCTGCTGCTGCTGTACTGCCGTCATCGTGTCTGCCATATTCGATGTGGCAGATCTCCCCAGGAAGGAACTCAAGTACATTCATTGAACTGCAGAGGGCGCGTTTCAACAAAACATAAGTTAACGTACCCCATTACCGGTACTAATTGACGTACACAGATATATTTCCGAAACAGACATAAGAACGTATTCAATAGTATTAGGATGACAATTGTTTACATCCATCTATTTTACAATGATTTACCATCAGTAACAGTGTTCCTCTACATATTGTACAATTGGTGGCTGTAAGCCCTCATTCTGCGGTGACCCACAATTGTCATTCACCAAGTTGTTCTGCCATGTACCGGTATTTTGGTTCCGGGTTGAATTACATGTATTACATTTGGAAGCTATGTACCTTTTGGACATAGGTTCCTGTACAAACGCTCTGTGCATGTATTTTTAAAGAAGTGGACACTCATTTATCGTCCGACAACGGTAAAAGTAACGGTGCCAAAAGTTGAGAGAAGCTCGTTTCATTTATTTAAATCATAGCAAAATGCAGCGGTGTCTTGAATTGCAACTTTCTTTTGTTCCGTAACCAAGTAACTGAAAACACTCGTATCCCAGTCTTCCCCCACTGACATTAATGGATTTTTTTTTTAGCCTCTCCCATAATTCCAACTAAAAAAACGACCGTAATGTGTTTTTTAATGAGAACAATAGCGCTCTATAATATACTTTACATAATCAGTGAGTGATGAGAAGAACGTTTTATCACCTTCTCCTGCAAGGCATATTGTGTGCTCATCCTGGTGTGTGCACCTTGGCTGTTTAATCCCTCTGTCCATGACTAGAACCTCTTCCTCCTCACGAACCTTTTGGACATAGGTTCCTGTACAAACGCTCTGTGCATGTATTTTTAAAGAAGTGGACACTCATTTATCGTCCGACAACGGTAAAAGTAACGGTGCCAAAAGTTGAGAGAAGCTCGTTTCATTTATTTAAATCATAGCAAAATGCAGCGGTGTCTTGAATTGCAACTTTCTTTTGTTCCGTAACCAAGTAACTGAAAACACTCGTATCCCAGTCTTCCCCCACTGACATTAATGGATTTTTTTTTTAGCCTCTCCCATAATTCCAACTAAAAAAACGACCGTAATGTGTTTTTTAATGAGAACAATAGCGCTCTATAATATACTTTACATAATCAGTGAGTGATGAGAAGAACGTTTTATCACCTTCTCCTGCAAGGCATATTGTGTGCTCATCCTGGTGTGTGCACCTTGGCTGTTTAATCCCTCTGTCCATGACTAGAACCTCTTCCTCCTCACGAAGGTCGCGGGGGTGCTGGAGTCTTTCCCAGCTGTTTTTGGGCAGTAGACGGGGTACACCCTGAACTGGATTCCAGCCAATCACAGGGCACACATAAACAAACAACAAGCATCCACACTCAATTAACCTACTGTGTATGATTTTTGAATGTGGGAGGAAACCAGAGTACACGGAGAAAACCCGCACAGGCACGGGGAGAACATACAAACTCCTCACAGGAAGGCTGGTGCCTGGGATTGAACCCATGACCTGTGCACTGTGAGGCTGATGTGCTAAGCAGTCTACCACCTTGTCGTGCGATATAAGTTAGATATGCAAATATACTAAAGTGTAGGCTCAGTTCTTTCCCACAAAAATCATAGCCAATGTGAGTTGGCAATACTGAACATATGTTTTAAGTTTGGATTTGAAGGTAATGAGAGAGTCAGAGTTGCGGAGGTCAAATGGCAGAGTGTTCCAGAGGGGCTGAACGTTCTGCTCCCATTGGTGCAGAGATGAGCAAAAGGAGAAATCAGGTGGATGAAGGAGGACCAATGGGTGCACGCTCAATGTGATGGCCTCATGTTTTCATAAATCTTACATCCTGTAGTGATGTTTTGAATTGTGGTATTTTTGCATTGATGCCATTATTTTACAGATACCAGTTAGTATATTTCACACTATTGTCTAGAGTCCAACCAGCGTGAGAAACGTCGAGGTAGTTTGAAGTTAAAAAGAAATAAATACATAAATAATTGGGCTGGTGGAAATTCTGATTGGCTGGTAAACTAAGAGAGTCACCAGCCACATTGGCTGGTGTTCAAAACAGTTAATTTAAATTAAATCCCTGGACCTTTGTATACCATCATCTGACCAAAAAACACAAATAAACACACGAAAAAAAACACGCTTTAATACTATGACAATTTACACCATTACTCTATCTATACAGAGTACTGTACATCAGGGTGTGATAAAATAATTGCAGTCAGTGGCCAATGGAGAAATATGGATGCTACGCTCATTAAAAATCACGATCAACGAGGGACTGAGGGTCATGCCTAACCAAATAAATGGTGAGCACACATTTAACATTTTTACTTTTGTGTCGCCACTGCCTAGTGTTGATACTTGTCGCATTGCTATTGGTGAATGTGTTCAATTAATGGCAGCACATTTGGATACAGGATAGGGATTGAACATTTGGCAACTTGGACTTGTAGTGAAAATGTAGCCAAAGTCACTCAGAGGTCTCGAGAAGTAATAAGGTTCAGCAACTGATATGTGATAAATTCATATTAACAAAGTCCTCATGTGTGTAATGAAATGGGTTCAGCGAAAACACAATATTTTTGAATATTCATGTATCATGTGGTTGGCTATTTTTCTATAACCAAGTAGTCCATTCTTTACAAGATTTTTTTTTCTTATTAAACCAATCACAACTATTGGCAATTTGTAGAAAGTGAGATTGAATAAAAAGTAAGATTCAGTCACTGCCCTCGCAACTCCATGCTTGTAATATCATCGAGCTCCTCGGTTGGGCTGTTGGTGGAGATTTGAATGTGAGCTAGGTCACTTGCTTCCATGATGAGCTGTGGGAGAACAACACTGTGATGAAGTGACGTTTGAAAATACAGTATCAAACAATCACACATTCATTCGCTCGCACACACGCACACCACGCCTCCAGCCCGAACACAGCTCGGATAGGCTCCACCATGCCTGCGACAATCGTGAGGACAAGCAGATTAGAAAATAGACGGATGGATATTTATTAGTACTCACAGCATTTGGCATCTTGTATGAAGGTTGTAGCCACTCCTTAATTCTCTTCCTCTGGAAGAGCCAGAGGTATGCGATGATTGGTATTAGAATAACAAGCACAGGCACAATGGCAAAAGTGCTCTCAATTGTTTTTGTTCCTGGGTCTGGGAAAAAAAAAGCACAAAAATATAGACATAATATGTTATAAATTTTAAACAGAAGAAGTGTAAATCTGAGAGACACGTCGCCAAATATAGGGTTAATTAATGCTTGGACGGAAGTAAAATGACATTACATGTACCTTTCGAAAAGAAAAACACTTTTTTGTTTCTTTACTTTACTTTGCCTTTTATTTAACCTACAAATGTGTCAGATCATTGTGCCTGACCCTGTATGTTGTAGGCCAGGAGAAAATGAGCTTCCCCTCCTTGAATGACCAGCAGCCGCCACTGATAAACAGAATGTCAACTTGATTTGACAGATTAAAATTGGGAGTGGTGTCTAAATTAGGCTGTTTTTTTTAATCAACCACATGATGAGATTTCAAATCCGTTGACTCCCCAAAACCACAATGACACAAAGCAGATAACAGGAAGTGTTTGTTTCTTTATAATAGACAAGAAAGTTTGTCCCACCTGACGGAGGGATGACTTCACACTTGTCGCAGCTGGCCACACCGACAGGATGATCAAAGTAAGTGTACTGCACTTTTGCACAGTAGCGCTCACCGGCCTTTAAATTGTTTATGGATACAGAGGCTACAGCATCTTCATATGTCTGTTGAAGAGTAGACATTTCTGAGGTAGTTATTATTAGCCAATGATGAACAAGAACCAAAACAAACCAATATAGTTCAATAGCCCAGTTGATCATCATGGTTAGCACCGTTATTTGCATTTTTTTGCTATGGCACCCCCTTTTCCGTTTGTCTATCTAATTTTTATGCATTCATACAAATATGACTCAAAGTGTTTACTTGCCTCCAAGCGTTCGCCCTCTTTTCCAAAGTATATCCTCTGTTTTATGTGGTAACCTTCCTGAGCAATCCCACTGTGTCTACTTAGATGAACAGTCAAGAAGCCAGGCCGTGCACTCAGGCCAACTTTAGGGCTACACGAGTTACCTGTAGGAAAAGAAAAAAAAAAACAATAAAAGACTAATCCTCTTTTATTGGGTGAGACAAAAAAAATACACAAACCTGACGATAAAAAAACAGGTAAGATTTTAACACAAACTGATTCATTTATGCCGATGCTGAATGAATTGTGCATCTTTACGTCAACGTTTGAATTTCACACATCACTGACCTGTGAGTTGGTCACCTCCTTCTGAGCCATAATCCACAGACAGACCAAGCTCGAGATAAATACTGGATTTTCTCGTTTAGCTGGTTTCAATTTTGCATCACATCATAACTCTGACCGACTTACAGTAAATATGTACCGGTATTCCTTTTGTTGGCAAGAGGAGTTGCGGCACGTCAGGCTGAATGCAGAGACATGAATGAGTGAGGGACACCTCAATCATGAGCTTTTATTTGTTAATATACATATTAGAGGTTGCGTAGTTCACAAAATCCACGGTTGAATTTGAAGCTGAATAGAAAGTTGCTGATGCTGAAAAGTGTACATGATATCAATATTTTGATGGTAGTAAAATTCAGCGGTTGTAATTTAGATTCCGAATAGCACAATTACACTTCTATGAATGGCAGATGCGCCTTACTTTTTGTGCGCGCGACATGCTCACCTTGTCTGCTACAGGCTCTGACGAGATCTGAAGTCAGCCCACGGCTCTCTGCTTGCACACCGAGCATAACACAGCCGTGCTCTGCCTCGGCTTTGATCAAAGTGACGTTACAGGAAGTAAAATTAACCTGCTTGCAGGATGGGACATCTTCCCACAGGTCAGAGTCAAAGCTGAATGAACTAAACAGGGACAAGAAGCAATTCGGACTGTAAACTAATTTGATACAATAAGTAGAAATACTGTTACATTCAGAGTCATACTGCATTTGTGAGCATGCTCAGAAAGAGTGATGGACAAGTTGACTGACATTTTTTAACTCCGAAACAAACTCAATGGTTTCTATTGCAGTTTTTCATTTGATTTTAAACATTTATGTAATCTCCAATCACATTCAGCAAACTCTCTCCTTTGCTTCTTCTGGTCCCATGTTTAGTTGAATACAACCAATGTCACCGAACAACAGTGACTACTTGTCACCCTTTAAATAGGCCGACTGACTGATTACACGATTGAAGAAACGTTTGATGTAAATTAGAGGACATACTTTAGTTGTCCCTATGGGGCAATTATTTTCAATCTTTTCTCGGGATTGTGCATCTTACATACTGTATCACTTTTGACATTTATTATATTAACCACTGTAATAATTTACACAGTGAAAGAGACTAAATTGCTTCAGCCTGCATCACACAGCAAGATTTTAAAATTGTCGGCATACTTCCAAACTCTGAGAGACCCCAAACACGATGAGGGGAAAAAAAAAAAAAAAAGAAAAAAAAATCACACGTTTAACAGTTTTGAATGGACAGTGTGTGGTGTGCAGCCACATGGCAAAATCAACACCTCACGAGATTAGATTTAATGTGACTTCAGGGTAAACAAATGGGAAATCTCACATACCTCTCGAAATTAAATGTGGTGGACGAAAAGGAGAGAGCGGGGATAGTTTGTAGTTTGTTTTTAAGCAGGAAAAAAACGTGACAAAAAAAGGTGTTGTCAAGAGGACTTTAGACAGTGCTAGCACAGACTTTCTGTGACGCCCTGGCTGGTTTGATATATAGATTCCTCAGTGTGCTTCCTCGCCATCTCATCATTTTGATATCTGATCGGCTGCACGTCACTGACAATCGGCTCTGTGCTCGTTTGTCCTCAGACAACACAATCCAAGGTGTTGATAATCCCCGATTTGAGATCGGTGAAGCCTACGAATTCTTACGAATGACCGATATCAGTCTGAAATACACCACACACGGCAGAAATATCGAATAAGATTATCTTTGGAGCTGTTACGATAACCAGAGTGTCCTTATGATTGTCGGGAGGGGAGATTCGGGCTAATTATCCTGCTGTGTGAACTGGGCTTGAAGTAAATGACGGTTTTAAGGCAAGTACAATCCACTGTACAAAGTTTGGTGAAAGAATCATTTTCACAGGAAAGTAGCCTATGTATACACTATGAATGAATGTGTGCAGGTACAGTATTTAAACCTTTCAGGGACGGCGGTTACGACAGTGGACAGCTGTTATCAGGTTACAGTGCGCATGAAAGGGTTAAATTGTGTATGTTATAAATAATTACATCACTAGTTCAGACGTTCATGCCACTCACCTGCTGTACCTCACGGTGTAAGTAACGTTGTTCTCTTCTGAGGCAGGAGTCCACGTCACCTGCCAATTATCAAACAGGACTTCCTGTGGCAGAGCTGGTGGAGCTTCACTAAATACTGAGGGAGGGGAGGGTGAAAAATGAAATGTGAGATTTACTGAATCGCAACACCTTATAAACTTAAAATGGAGAGAGACAGATTCAATCCAAAAGGCACATTTTGAGACTGGAGAAATCAAGTCTTTGTTCCGAAAGCAGAGCAATGATTTGTCACCAGATTGGACCAGCATGTGTAGTGTTTGAACATTTTCTATTATTGATCTTTAATTGAGTAAAATTGGAGAGTGAAAAGATTGTACCAGGAAAGCTTAAAACACTGTTAACGTCAAGTTAACTGTTTCTTGGCCAGGGTGAAAATCGCACTCCTTCTGAATCTGAGACTCAATCACCCAACGGGCCCTGCACCCCTGAATAGACCCTACCAGGGAGGCTGAGGAGTGTGATTCCCCTTTATTTGGAGCACATCTTGCAATCCCCATTCTGATGAAAGGGGACCATCACCCCGGTCTGACAATCCAGAGGCACTGTCGCCAATGTCCACACAAAGTTGCAGGAGTTGAGTGGAGGTATGCAGTGCCCCATCCCCACTGTACACAATGGCGCACTTCTTGTCCCCTCCTGAGATGCTGGACAGTGGACCAGAATTTCCTTGTAGCCTTCTGCAAGTCGTTCTCCATTGCCTGACCGAACACTATTAATGCATCAAATTTTTGCCTCAGCGACTACCCAAATTGTATTCCGCTTTGCCTGCTGATGCACATTAGATGCCTCAGGAGTCCCAAAGGTCAAATAGGTCCGATACACACATATTTACAAACCACTAAATGAAGTTGGTGCTGACAAGCGGTGAGGGGCTGGGGAAGCCAGTTTTGTATTTGCAGCTTTATGTAAGTGTGCTGACCATGTTTGAGTTTAATATAATTCATCTTGTAGATAAAATCATAAATTGAACATGTGATTGGAATCATTCAACTACAGAGATTATTCATTAGTGACACACGTAATCTTTAATTTACGTCTTTCTTAAATGAGGACATTGAGGAGAGAATGCCTCATGTCTCCAAACATTTGTTCCTACTTGGTTGACCCTTGCAACAAATCATTTGAGTATGATAGACATAACAAAAAACAAAAGGAACAGACTTGGTTGTGAAAATGATAAGTGAGTGGCACTTGCCAAGATGAAGCTGTGCAATTCTGGCCTTCCACTGTGAGGTGACAAGTCACATTATGTGCAGTAAATATTTCTTGCGTTGTATTTGTTTTTGTATGAAATTATTTTGTTGTGTTTGTTTTTTAAACACAAATTTTGTGTGCAACTGTGCACAAATAGATATATACCGTGTGTAAAATCATATATTAGTATTATGGGTGTGTGTGTGTGTGTGTGTATGTGTGTGTGTGTGTGTGTGTGTGTGTGTGTGTTTAACATCGACATTGGGCAGTTAGTTTTGGTAGTAACTAAGGAAGTAAAATTACTGCCCAATTTTAGTTAGGTGGCTATTGAAGCTTTTCTGTTTACTCAACCAGTTTAACGTTTTGGTTATTTAGTTCTTTGGCCGCTAGGAATAGGAGCAATTGAATGCAGGAGGATGATCATTTGCTCATAGGAAATGCTGTGGTAATTTTGCCCTGACTGGCAACTCGCCACCTGTTTCGCCATGAGTCCCGCAAGAACTACTGGTACAAATTCTGTGCCAATAAAACAGTGGAATTGTGGGTAGAGCGGCCACCCTGAATGTGCTGCTCTATTCTTTCACATCATGGGTTTGAATCCCCCTGTGTACCATTTATTTCTTTACAATTTCTTGAAGCCAGTCAGAAGTTGTAAGTGAGCCATATTTGTTTTTTATGAAAAATGTTGATGTCGCTTGTAAAACAAAAATAATGATTAAGGGCCTCACAAAAAAAAAAAAAAAAAAAAAAAAAAAACTTTGTGTTGGGGAGCTGGGGGGCAGTGCCCTCCCCTGGGGGTGCACTGTTCCCCAGTGTCGGTCCCAAGCCCGGAGAAATGGGGAGGGTTGCGTCAGGAATGGCATCCGGCGTAAATCTTTTGCCAAGACGACCATGCGAGTTGGTAGGACGGTTTACAGGGGCGGATGGAAATTACTGACTCGCTGTGGCGACCCCTGAATAGGGACGTGCCGAAAGGAGAAGAAGAAGAAGAAGAATTTTGGTTAGGGCAAAGATAAGTAGGGGGTTAATCATAAAAAAGGTGTACAATTAATCTAAACAATAGGTTGGGGGCAAGAATTAAGGAAAGTTCAAGATATTAACATATAAAAAACAAAAACTGCTGCTGAAATCGCGAACCAGTTAATGCGGAAGCAGTAGAACCGTAAACACGGTAGCCTACACCTTGAAAGGGGTGGAAAGAACAACCAGCTTACCAACTCTGGACCCAAAAATGACTGCTATTGCCAAATCCTATCTAACGTTATCAGTCAGAAGTAACAACCGTAACATACGCTCCCTGTTTCAAAAAGATATTTCGACAACCCCGAATATTATTTCTTACTGGTCTGGTTTTGTTGATAACCTACACTGGGAAAAAATCTGGTCTCTTCCATACAAATACCTTCTGACTAATAAAGTAAGGGAAATCATTTTTAAAATGACACAAGTACTATCCCATCAAGCATTATCTTCTTAAATTCAAGAAAGACATCTCTGTTGATTGTTTGTTTTGTGCAATGTCCCCTGAAACGATGATTCACTTGTTCTGGCAATGTCCGGAGACCAACACATTTTGGAAAGCTATATCCCGATTTATTATTGATCATATTGTCTCTGACTTTACGCTATACTGGAAAAATATACCGTTTGGTTTCTTTAAAAATGATGCAAAAAAGACTAAACATGTCTTTATTATAAATGTAATAATTATTCTAGCTAAATTCCATATCCACAAATCTAAATGTAGTCGTTCACAACCTCTTTTCCTAAATTTTGAAGCAGAAACTAAGCAGTACCTGATTTCTATTATGGATTCCAAAAACAAGAAAGCGGTTAAGACTCTGGCTATATGCCCTTTATTTGAAATTTTTTGTCTAAAATCCGCTGGCTCTTCTTTTTGTTTAACTCTATGTCATCTGTGCATGTATTAATAACTTGTTCATTCTGGTTACTGAGAATTGTAATTTGATTTGTTCAATATTTTTTTTATTAAAAAAAAAAAAAAGAAAAACGGTAGCCTACACATCACTTGAAGTAAGATATTGATAGCCAACCGACTATTTTGTAATTACGGTAAAATAGCCGATTCACGGCAGGCCCAGAATTTCGTGCTCCGGCGATTGACCAACCAGAGTACTTCACAGGAAGCCAACGCAAGGAAGAGTTACCGGTCACGGCAAAATAACCACAGCGTTGCTGAAAATGAAGGATGCAGCCCAATCTAATCAAATCAAATAACGTTGAGCTGACTGAGTGCGAGCACCATTAATCACGACACGTTCAAAAAAAAACAGGTGTAGTTCAAGAAAATAGAAAACGTAAACGTAGCAGCACTTACCCTGAGTGGCGAAGTGAAAGCAGATTAGCAGGAAAAGCCGTTGTAACCGCGTCATTTCATCCCAACGAAAGGTTACCAAACATGTCAAACTATCTTAATCACTGTCAGGTTCTAGTCTGAATTTGTAAGACATTTGGAAGCGCCAAACAAGTTGTGCTACACAAGATGTTTGTAGTTAGTCGTCTCTCTCTCACCCCGACTCCCCTTGCTTGCTCTTTCTTGCTCTCTATCTCTCTTCAAACAACTGTTAGAGCAATACTGCCACCTTCAGCTATGAAGTGCAGATGAGGATGCAACAATAGTGTCTTCCAGTGTCAGTTGCATGTATTTCTCAATTTTTTGATTCACTGTGGACTGTAATTTTTATTTCCCGTGGGTTTATTCTACCCTAGAAGCAGTACTGGCTATGATCTCATGTAAAGTACTGTTGACGTCTGCTGGCGATTGTAAATCATTACAATCCTTCTCAAGCCTGATACAGTACTATGTGGTTAACTACATCAAAACCTTGTGCGTCAAATGCATAACAAAAAAATCGAGTTAATTACACCAGTGTGAAGTATTGTGTATCTGCAAATGTATTTGTACGGCAAGTTAGTATATCAATCAAATAAAGGATAAAGTGTACGTTGCGACTTTTCATGAGTGCACGTTAAAATACATGAACAACCAGAAGCCGATTCACGTGGGCCCCAGCAACTTTGTATTACCGGGAAATTATATTACCAGGAACTAAGTACTGGTGGAAAAGAGGCTATTGTGATCCTAATGCGCCAATTAAAACTTTAACGCACTAGTTGTAGGGAAAAAAAACTAATATATGAGCATATTCGCTACACGTCATCCAATTTAGTGTATTGTTTGAACGTGAAAATGGATCTAATTGGTTACAAAGTCTTGTTTTTGGGTTACTTATTTGCAGAAAATGTATGTTGTGCTGTTGGCAAGGATAAAGAAAGCAATTATTAAGTGTTTATTAACTGTGGCATACTTTGTACATCAAGAGGCCTACTACTAGCTTGGGACAGAATATTCTAAGATTCAAGTGTTGGCACCCAAAAATGTCATGAACTTTTCAAACCAAAGTTAATTTTTATAGATTTTGATAAATGTGTAAGGTAAATCAAAAATCTGCCAAACTCAAAATGATTCCATGCGATCAAAATTTGTCATCATGGCTCATCCAAAAGCAGTAAAATAAATGGAAAACACAAAACAGTCAATTCATGTAGATGAAAAAGCCGTGACTGTTCCCAAAACTTCTTTTCTGGCCTTCTTGCCATTGTTTCCCTGTTCCATTTTCCTCTTCTGCTGCTGCTCCTCCAGACGTTGCTGCTTCTTATTCATGTACACAGTCATGTTATCAAAAGTCACCTTATGCAGATGTACAAAACGGCCAGCAGCCCTCGTGGAAGCTGTGAAGAAAACAGAAGAAGGGTTGGAGGAACAGTTGCAATGAAATTCGATTAAGAAAGATGTGAAATTGAAAATAAGAGTGCATTTAAGTATCCTGTGCAGTGAATTCTGTTTGAAAATATTTGCTAGAAAAACACGGGTACAGACTGAGAACAACAGCATGAAATACACAAACATCGTGATATAGTAGAAAACTATTTAACTGCTTAATCGTTGAATTTAATGCTGGTTACATGGGCAAATATTCCCACACATTTGCAATTATTTCTGGGCGCTGACTGGAACATAGTGTGTTCTTCCTGCAGCGTTTCATCTTGTTAAATTGACTTTTATATTATTATCACATTGTATAGGACAACATTGTGTCAACTGCTGCCCACTCGGTATCCAATGCAGCCTGGTCATCCTGGAAGGGGGATGCTCTCCCCAGCCACTTCTTCCATCACTTCCGGTGGGGCTCCCAAGGCGTTCCAGGCCAGCCAGGAGACAGCTCTCCAGTGTGTCCTGTGTCATCCCCAGGGCCTCCTGCCGTTGGGACATGTTCAGAACACTTCACTAGGAACGCGTCCAGGAAGCATCCTAATCAGACGTCCAAACCACTTCATCAGTCTTATCTCAATGTGAAGGAGCAGCAGCTCAATTCTGAGTCCCTCCCGGATGACCAAGCTTCTCACCCCATCTCTAAGGAAGAGCCCGCAAATCCTGCAGAGGAAACTCATTCTGCCTCTTGGATCCGGGTTATGTTTTTTTTCGGTCACGGCACACAGCTCCTGACCATAGCTGTGGTTGGAATGTAGTTCGACTGGTAAATTGAGACCTTCACCTTTCGGCTCAGCTCCTTCTTCACCATGACAGAACGATCACCATCACCTTCACAGGAGACGTTGCATCAATCCGCCTGTAGATCTCCCATTCCATGCTGTCCTCACTTGTGAACAAGACAAGTGGTGAAACGGAGCCCCATCCCGAGATGTTTGACTAAGGGCTATGCCAATTGGGAGGCATACGTAGCACCCCAAGACGTTGAAGTTGGCAACAACAAGGGATGGAAAGCGCGACAATCCAAGCTTTATTTAAGATGTTAGGGTTGTGATGCATCTAACTTTAGAAGCAGTACGATGCACTGCCCTTATTCTACTGTGAACTTGAAGTGCCCATGTTTGATTTGTGGATTGTTGTTTTGAAAATACTTTTGTTGACTTTTTAATGAGGGCGGCACAGCTGGAGACTAGCTAGCACATCCACCTCACAGAACAGAGGTCCAGGGTTCAAAACCTGGCTCCGACTTTCCTACGTGGTGTTTGCATGATGTCCCCGTGCATGCGTGGGTTTTCTCCGGGTACTCCAAAAACATGCATGGCAGGTTAACTGAGCAGTCTAAATTGTCCCTAGGTGTGATTGTGATTGTGAGTGTGACTGTGAATGGTTTCTTGTCTATGTGCGCCCTGAGATGGACACACAACCAGTTCAGGGTGTGCCTCCTGCCCTGACACAGCTGGGATAGGCTCCAGCACACCCACGACCCTCATGAGGCAAAGTGGTGTGGATAATGGATGGATGGAGTTTGTGCTGCACAATACTTAATCGTGACATTTTTTAAAATATTACACACAATATTTTTTTAGACTAAAATTATCACTAAAACTAAGAAAAACTAAACTAAAATGATTAAAACCTAAAAACCGCAAATTGAAAACGCTGCACAATACTTAATCGTGACATTTTTTAAAATATGACACACAATATTCTTTTGACTAAAATTAACACTAAAACTAAGAAAAACGAAACTAAAATGATTAAAACTTAAAAACCGCAAATTGAAAACAGATTCAAACTAACTAAATGCAAAAACCAAAACTCAAAATGAAATCAAAATTAATGAAATAACTACACTAATAACTGATGAAAATTTCCAATCTATTTTAAGGGTGGTTTTTAGGTACCCCATAAACATTGTTTTCACAAATCCTGCACGCAAAATACAAAGTGTGCACGTCTGAATAAGTGGGCTTGTTGACTCACCATCAAGTGTCACCCAGTGAGGCTTGAAGATCTCAGTCACTCTTTTGAGTTCACTGGTAGCAGTTTCACAATAAAAGCAAGTTCAAAGAATGGAGTAGAATTTGAGATGACGGCAACGAGTCATTTTTTTTTAACCTCACAGTTTTTATGTTCGACCTTACATTTATCTTACATGCAGCTAACCTTTTTTTTAAGACAGTAAGCCTGTATTGAACATGTTTCGAAAAAGTATTTGTTTGAATAACTTCAGATACTCATGAGAAAAGTTAGTCCAGTGAAAAATCGGTTTTCATAAATTATAGATCGATTCCTGTTGGATATATATTGTTGAAACTCTATAAGAAAATAGGAAAAAATAAAACTGAACATATGATCGAACAGTTAATTATCACCAAGTTAAGTTCCTTATTATAAGTTGTCTTTTGTTGCATCTGCAACATAGAATGTAACAATAATGGAAAATGCAGACTTGTGTTCAATTGCTGAGTCACCTGTACAACTTGAGTGTATTTCCTTCAAAATGTGTTTTGAAATATGAACAAATTGGCCAGCCATCAAAATCACAGAACAAACTGCATTTCCACAAGGTTTCAAAGTACAAGCACAATTTAAATTTGAAAAGAGTCCAGGTAAATGGCGAAAAACAGAAAGGACTAAGTGTAAAAAGGCTATGACAATTATTTCAAAGACAAATGAAGACTTTCACGAAGACGGAAGTGCACTCACCTGTCACACTGCACAGCTATGTGACGCCCATCAGAGGAGCTGGTAATATGGCAAACAGTTACCTTCTGCGAATTAAATAAAAACAATAGATTCGAATTTAATTCTTTTCATTCATTATTTCTGAATGCCAGTAAGAAGCCATTCTGCTCTTTCCACTTATTGGAGTGGTCCCGCGCGCAGGGCGTAAATAGCAAAGCTCAAACTTCACTCTCCCAAGCCACTTTCAGCCATCTCGTTACCTCTGCATCCCGCGTCCTAGACGCATAATTTTCCAGACAGACGCATAGTTCCAAATAATGTGCGTTTTTGGAAGGCAAGGAAATTTCTTAGTCAAAAAAAAAACCTACGGTAAATCTTTTTTTTCGAGCAACGAACGCAGTTTGAATCGCCGCCATTGTTATTTTGATCTCGCGTTAAGTAATCTCGCATGACGAGATTTCCGTTCTCGCGAGACGAGATTGGCGAGATCGGCCTTCACTTCAAGGAAAGCAGACGATTGCCAAATTGTGTTACGTTAAAACAAGTGTTGTGAACAAGTGTTGCGAAAGTTTATTGCGGAGATATGAACTCAAAGACTGAACCATGTGATGAAATAAGAACCTATTTCTCAGCAAATCTTGTATGCCTGAATTATTTAAAATGTATGTGTGTGTGTGTGTGTGTGTGTGTGTGTGTGTGTGTGTGTGTGTGTGTATGAATAGAACTGGTTTGCCCTTATTGACATGAAATTCAGTCGTTTGTGGTATATGCCTTTGACACTCATGCTTGGGCATTAAAGAACATACTTACCCCCTCATTCTCCGTTTTAGGGACAAGTGTCTCTTCCAGGTCGTTCAAGTCCCAACTTTTGAGTTTCTGACCAGTAGTATACTCCCACAGCTTCATCGTCCCATCCTGCAAATTAGAGAAACATTTTAAAAGCAGAGAAACCAAATTTCTTCAAACTGTTGGCTTTAGCATTGTGTTGCTTTTAATATACAGTATATAGTTGCTTTGGATTGTGGCCGGGTCCGGTAACTGGCAGAAGCAACATAAAGAAAAGCGGGTCAGCCAAGTCAGGTGTCCCTGTAGCCGTGGCAAACTTGGCGGTTGTCTGGTCTCAGATACGACGTGGACTTAGGCCGCACTTCTCAATGCGAATGCCCATCCTAGACTTGGTCAGCACTTGCCCATTGTCGACTTCTCTGGGGAATTGGGGCCGCACTTCCATTGTCCTTTCTCAACACAGAGCGGACCTACACGACGGTGTGTCAGGCTCCACAATGAGCTGAGCCGTGACAAACAGCTTCCGAAAAAAACAGCCTGGGGACCGCCCGTTCATCAGCACCTAATTTTTATCCTGAGGCTCACTTTGCGCCCCCTACAAATATTTAACAAAGCAGCCCTGGATCTATTTTTCAAAAGAAGGGTGAATTCTGTTGCACGTGACAATTTTCAATTTTCTGTTTGGAAAAAAAAAACCCAACAATGAAGACCTAGTACTGTATCATTTTTTTTTCCACCTCACAATTGGACCACTTTTTTTTGGTATATGGATGTGAATGCTTTTGCAATCCCCTTTATTACTACTTTTCACCACAGCATTAATAAAAAGTATCTACATGGTAAATCCCATCCAAAAGTTGACAAACATACCCCTGATCCTGACAGCAACCAGTGCAGATCGCCTGAAGGAACCAACAGTGAGCTGACAAACCTAACAGAATATAACAAATCCATGAAATGTATCATTTGTGTCCCCCGATGGAGAACAGTAATAACAGATGCATTACTTACTCTTTGTGCCCTAGGCAGAAGGACTGGATGCTGTGTGGGGAACAAAGGTGACTCACTCGTATTTTTTCATCCCGGTCAGCAGTGACGATATACTTATCATTAGGTGACACAGCCTAAAAGCAAGAATGAGGATGCACGTTATATACACACGACTTGCAAGGCTCGGGGGGGGAAAAAAATTATGATAAATATGTATTTTGGGGGGTTAGTGGGGGTGAAGCAGTTTTGCTAATCAATGACTTTATTTGAGGTGCAACCTTCTAATTTTCAGGTTGTTAACAGGGACCTGAATGAAGTAAGGGTTTATTAAACAATAAAACAATTTTATGTCTTAAATTCACATGGTGTATAGCAGCAATCTAATTTCTTGTCTCAAAACATTTTCAGTGGGTCAATTTCAAACAACTATAGTCGAGCTGCTAGAAAGGGCACTCGCAGCCCTGGCCCGCTACGTTTGACCTTTGGGCTACAAAAATTGGGAGGCACATGTAGCACGCTGAGTCACACCCACAAAAAATATATATAAATAAATAAATGAAAATTTTAGAAGCCG